GGGAACAGTGGTGGGGACAGTGGGGACAGTGCGACAGTGGTGGGGGCACTGGTGGGGACAGTAGGGACGGTGGTGGAACCAGTGGGGACAGTGGTGGTGAGGACAGTAGTGCTGGGAACAGCAGTGGGGGATGTGGTGCGGACGGTGGTAGGGACCGGGAGTCGTTTGCTGGCGGTGAGGGCGGGGGGGGGGTTCGAACCGGTAGTAATCCCCCCCCCGGTTTTCGAGGAGGAGGGGCGGGGGTTCGAACTGGTGGTGGCCCGTTTTTGAGGGGGGGGGTGGGGGTCGACCCGGTAGTGACCCCCTCCGGTTTTGGAGGGGGGGGTGGGGGGGGGTTCGAACCGGTAGTGACCCCGCCCAGTTTTTTGGAGGGGGGTGGGGGGGTTCGAACCGGTAGTGACCTTCCTGTGGTTTTCTGGGGTGTGAGGGGGGGGGTTCGAACCGGTAATGACCCCCCTCGGTTTTCCGAGGGGGGGGGCGGGGAGGGGGTTCGAACCGGTAGTGACCCTCGCCGGTTTTCTGGAGGGGAGGAGGGTGGGGGGGGGTTAGGAGAGGGGGAGGGTTTTGCCCAGGGAAGGGGGGGGGTCCAGCGGGGGGGTGGATTTTCGGAGGGGGGGGACCCCCGAGTTCCAGAGGAAGAGGGGGGGAATTTTCCACAGTAAAGCGGCGGTGGATCACGCTCTCTCCAATAACGCAACACATACAGCAACATATGATTGGTTCATTGTTTCTGCCTTTTGTGCCAAGGGGCTTTTCCTGGTCAAGGGGTGGGCCAATATTAAAGATCACAAGAAGCACCCCGAACAATATTTTTAAGCATCGGATAGTGGGGGTTGGGTTGGGTGGATGTGCGCAACACAACGTTTTTTGTAGAGGATGGTAAAGGCAGGAACGGCTGGATGTGCAACGAGTAGTACCTTAAACTTTGATGATGAAGATTGGGCCGTGCGGATGTTTACACAATCAATAATTTTGCGCAGGATCGTGAAGGTTGGGTCAAATGGATGTGCACCGAATCTGTGTTGAATCGAATGGTAGGGGTTGGGTCGTATGGATGTGCGCCAAATGGTCGTGATTTACATCCGATGGTGAACGTTGGATCGTAATGATTTAGGCAGACTTGTATGTTTTGCATCGGGTGGTGGGGGTTTGGTCGGACGGATGTGCACCGCATCTTTTTTTGCATACGATGGTGAGGGTTGGGTCGTATGGATGTGCGCGGCGCAAAAGCGAGAAGCACATATTGAAAAGAAGCCAGCCTCCATCGTGGACGTTGTTGCAAGTTTGATCGAGGGATGTGCGGGGCGCTTAGGCGAGGGCCACATTTTGGAAAGGAGCCGGCATGCCTCCTTGAAACTTTAGCAATTTTTGCAAACGAATGAGCGCGGTGCTGAGGCGAGCGCCACATCATAATTGGTGAGGACGTCTCAGGCGACAGAAGGGAGGTATCTATAAAACAAATATACGGAGGAGGAGAAGGCGGCGGAGGACGAGGCAGACGAGGAGGAGGACGGGGAGGAGGAGGAGGAGAAGACGGATGATGATGCTGCTGATGATGATGACGATTATGATGATGATGATGATGATGATGATGATGATGATGATGATGATGATGATGATCACGATGATGATGATGCTGATGCTGATGATGAAGATGATGATGCTGATGATGCTGCTGATGATGATGAGGATGCTTATCTGAATGTGATGATGATGCTGATAACGAGTGTGCTGATTATGATGATGATGATGATGATGATGATGATGATGATGATGCTGATGATGATGCTGATGATGCTGATGATGCTGCTGATGATGCTGATGAGGATGAGGATGAGGATGATGGTGATGATGATGATGATGATGATGATGATGATGATGATGATGATGATGATGATGATCAGGAGGAGGAGGAAGAGGAGGATGAGGAGGAGAAGGGCTAGGAGGAGGATGAGGAGGGCGTGGAGGAGGAGGATGAGGATGAGGATGATGATGAGGATGATGAGGATGAGGATGATGATGATTCTGATGATGATGGTGGTGATGATGCTGATGATGATGATGCTGATGATGATGATGATGAGGATGATGACGATGATGATGATGATGATGATGATGATGATGAGGATGATGATGATGATGATGATGATGATGATGATGATGATGATGATGATGATGATGATGATGATGATGATGATGATGATGATGATGATGATGCTGATGATGATGATGATGAGAGGAGGAGGAGGAGGAGGAGGAGGAGGAGGAGGAGGAGGAGGAGAGGGGGAGGAGGAGGAGGAGGAGGAGGAGGAGGAGGAGGGAGGAGAAGGAGGAGGAGGAGGAGGGAGGAGGAGTAGGAGGAGGAGAAGGAGTAGGAATATGAGGACGATGAGGACGAGGAGGGCAGAGGAGGAGGAGAGGAGGAGGAGGAGGAGGAGGAGGAGAGGAGGAGGAGGAGGGGAGGAGAAAGAGGAGGAGGAGGAGGGGGAGGAGGAGGAGGAGGAGGAGGAGGAGGAGGAGGAGGAGGAGGAGGAGGAGGAGGAGGGGGAGCTGCTGCTCGCGCTGCTGCCGCCGCCGCTGCTGCTTGTGCCGAGGTTCTCAGTTCACCTTCCCGACATCCTTCGGGGGCTTCAGCGCGATGGCCTCGCTGAGCTCGCAGCCGACCAAGGAGACGTGGCCGTCCCTCCCCGGGCCGTGGCGACGGCGGGAGGAGCGTTGGTTCTTTTGACAATCAAGGCATTTTTTGCGTGGTGGTGTGTGTGTGTGTGGTGCGAGAGAGAGAGAGAGAGAGAGAGAGAGTGTGTGTGTGTGTGTGTGTGATAGGTGTTTCTTGTTTGTCGTCTAGTTGTTTTGTGGATTTGCACTAAGTTTGTGCTGTGTGGTTTAATTTGTTTCCTTCGCCCTCTTCTCTTTCTCGTCCAGCTCCATTTCAGGCGTGGGAAGGAGGACGAGGGGGGCATCGGTCCCTCTGCTTTCTGGCAGCGGGTGGGGGCGTGGGTGGGGGGGAGGTGCAGGACAGGGGGAGTTGTTTGCATGAGGATGCTGTGCTGAGAGTCTGGCACGTAAGCCGCATGCAGACTTGACCAGCGGTCTGGTGCTACGAAGCTCGAGCATTCGGAACATGTGCCAATCGTCGCAAGTCTCGTTTGGACTCGTGCAGCAATCGATCGGGGTCAGGGAACGAGTTGCAGAGGAGGAGGAGGACGGGGGAACGGGGAGAAAGAGAGAGAGAGAGAGAGAGGTGCAGAGGAGTGGACAGAAAAGGGGGGACGCGCAGAGGCGGGGGAGAGGAAGGAGGGGTCGGAGATTGGTGGGTAGGGGAGGGTGGCGTCCCTTCACCTCTAGATGCTCTCTTTGTTTGTCGGCGGCGACGATGGCGACACTGGTGATCACGATTGTGGTAGTGGAAAGTGCGCTGATGATGGTGACGATGATGATGATGATGCTTCTGATGATGATGATGCATGATGCTTCTGATGATGATGACGATGAGGATGAGGATGAGGATGATGCTGCTGATGATGATGATGAGGATATTGATGTTGAATCGGGGGGTGATAGTCATGATGCTGTTGCTACTGATGATGGTGATGGGGCGATGACGAATGTGTAGATGATGGTGCTGAGGATGACGACGGTGATACTGATGATACTGGTATTGATGATGATTACGATGCTGATGATGATGATGATGGTGGTGGTGATGATGATGGCGATGATCGTGATGATAACGATGCTGATGATGACGATGGCGGTACTGATGATTATGATGATGACGATGGTGAAGAAGGTGATGATGATGTTGATGATGATGACCATGATCGTTGTGATGGTTATGATGCTGACGACGACTACGATGACGATGCTGATGATAATGCATGGTGTCGATGCTGCTGCTGCTGATGATGATGATGATGATGATGATGATGATAATGATGATGATGATGATGATGATGATGATGATGATGATGATGATGATGATGATGATGATGATGATGATGATGATGGGGAGGATGAGGATGACGATGCCGATGACGAGAATGAGGATGAGGATGGGGGTGCAGATGATGGTGATGATGCAGATGATGATGACGACGCCGGCAATGCCGGCGATGCTGTTGATGATGATAATGATGGTGGTGGTGTTGTTGTTGATTATGATGACGATGGTCATGCTTACGATGATGCTGATGGTGATGTTGAATTCGATGTGATTCAGTCGTCAATGGTGATTATGGTGGTCATGGTGATGGTGATGGTGATGATGAGGATGATGATGATGATGATGATGATGCTGATGCTGCTGATGATGATGGCAATGCTGATGATGCCCATGATGATGGTGATGATGATGCTGCTGTTGCTGATAATGATTATGCTGTTGCTACTCGATGATGGTGCTCCTTATGATGACGATGATGATGATGATGATGATGATGATGATGATGATGATGATAATGATGATGATGATGATGACCAGGGTGAGGATGAGGATGAACTTGATGATGACGACGATGGTGATGCAGCTGATGATGCTGATCATGTTGATGCTGATGATGATGCTGATGAGGATGAGGATGAGGATGAGGATGAGGATGAGGATGATGATGATGATGATGATGATGATGATGATGATGATGATGAGGAGGAGGAGGAGGAGGATGAGGATGAGGATGAGGATGAGGATGAGGATGAGGATGAGGATGATGCTGATGATGATGATGATGATGATGATGATGATGATGATGATGATGATGATGATGATGATGATGATGATGATGATGATGATGATGATGATGATGACGCTGCGGATGATGACGAGGAGGAGGAGGGCGAGGAGGAGGAGGAGGAGGAGGAGGAGGACGAAGGCAACAGGTGTTCGGATCAGGAAAGGTCCGCAGCTCGAAGCCCGAAGCTTGAAGCTCGATGGAGGAGGAGGAACAGGCAGACGGACGAGGACAGTCTGCCCGACCCACGTTGCGGGCCGCCGCCGCCCGGAGGAGATCGCCGCCATCTGGGAGCGCTCGGACGCCTCCGGCAGGCCGCTCTCGCGGCCCCGCCCGCGCTTCACTCGCCCGCGCCTCCCTCAACCCGGCGGCCAGCGGGTCCTCGGGGGCGGGCCCTCCAGGGGAGAACTTGCAGGAGGGGAGGCAGGGGAGGGATGGCAGGGTAGGAGCAGGAGGACGAGGAGGAGCAGAAGGAGGAGGAGGAGGAGGAGCCGAGGAGGAGGAGGAGGATGAGCCGGAGGAGGAGGAGGAGGAGGAGGAGGAGGAGGGGAGGAGGAGGAGGAGGAGGAGGGAGGAAAAGGGAGGAGGAGGAGGAGGAGGAGGAGGAGGGAGGAGGAGGAGGAGGAGGAGGAGGATGATGATGATGATGATGATGATGAGGAGGAGGAGGAGGAGGAGGAGGAGGAGGAGGAGGAGGAGGATGAGGAGGAGGAGATTTTTTCACCAGCGTGAGGCCCGCATTTTAAGGGAAAAGGCTCGACATGGGCACGAGCAAGTTTCGGGTGCTTGCCCGAGCGAATTCTCCCAGGCCTGGATTGCTCCTTTGGACTGAGGAAGCTTCGGGCAATCTCGAACGAGCTTGCTGACCTGTCCTCCAGTCGTGTACGAAAAGCACTTGCTGCACGCATGCAGCAGGGTGTTATGGGTGCTCGAAAAAACAGCCAAAGTATGATGCTGCCGATTGATTGCCAGGACCCGCGCCGGGGGAGAGCCTGAGCAGCCACCGACTGGAGGCTTCTGCTCCCCTCTGCTAGTTGACCAGGAGCAGGACCAGTGTAAACCCAAGATTCATCAACGATGTTGGAATAATCACCCCTTCTAAGCTCCCTCTTCACAGGCCACTACAAGTGTTCATTTCCACTGGGGGAACTGCCTCGTTGGGAGACAACCGTTTGAAGACCCTGAAGGATGCCAAAACGCCGTTCTCGGGACTCCAGTGACACGGATCGATCCACCTGACCTTTGCGTCTTGACGATCCTGAATCGTGCCCGGACGCCATTCCTGGGGCTTCCTCACCGCGAATCCACGTAACTGTTGCACCCTCACGATCTTGAGTCCTTCCATAACGCAGTTTCTGGTACGTTGAATATGGGGAATCCGGGACATTTGTGTAATTGTAATTTTTCAAATCGAATGTGCGCGGCGCCAAGGCGAGAGCTACATGTTGAAAACCAGCCGCCCTAAATCCGTGAAGTTTTCGCAAATGTTTAAGACGAGTGTGCCCAGCACTCAAGCGAGAACCACATTGTGAAAACGGCCCGCCCTCCATCCGTGAAACTCGTGCAAATGATTGAAACGAATGTGCGCGGCGTTAAGACATGAACCACATTTTGGACACGACCCGACCTCCATCTGTGAAGCTGTTGTCAATGTTTGAGCATCAGGGCAAAAACTTGTGAGGACGTCGCAGGCGAAACGCTCGGCCCGCCCTTTCGGCCGGACTCAGGGTGCGACATGGAGGCGTTGTTCATAAGGAAAGGAATGGAGGCGGAGGAGGCGGAGGAGGAGAAGGAGGAGGAGGAGGAGCAGGAGGAGGAGCAGGAGGAGGAACAGGAGGAGGAGGAGGAGGAGGGGGAGGAGGAGGACCAGTGTAAACCCAAGAATCATCAGTCATGTTTGAATAAACCCACATTCCAAGCTCCCTCTTCAAAGGCCCCCACAACGGTTCATTTCCATTGAGGGGACTGCTTCATTGGAAGACAACCGTTCGAAGACCCTGAAGCATGCCCAAACATTGTTCTCGGGATTCTAACGTCACGGATCAACTTGAGTGTTGGCTTTTGACGATCCTGAACCGTGCGAGAACGCCACTCTTGGGACTTCAACACCGCGAGTGAACATACTTGATGCACCCTCATAATCCTGAACCCTTCCAGAACGCCATTTCCGGGCGCGCGGGTCTTCGCCTACCTCGACGACGTCGTGATCGTCGTCTCCGCCGCCCTGGCCGCCGCGGCTCACCAGGTCGTGTGCGAGGAACTCGGCGGCGCAGGCCTCACGATTAACGCCGACAAACCCTCAGTCTGGACGCCCCGCCCCGCGACGCAGCTGCCCCCGGACCTGGAGCCCCTGCGGACGTTGAGCCTCCGCTGCCTGGGTGCCGTCACCCCCTGGGTCGACCCCGAGGACCCACTGCCTCGTGAGCCGTTTGAAGGAGCTACGAGGCGCGGGGCGCCACCCACGCCACTGCTTCTCCCTCCTCCAAACGTACGCCAACGGGGCTGTCACGCCTCTTCTCCGGGCGAACTACGAGGAGGGCCCGTGGACGCAACAGCTCGATTCGGTCGTCGCGGAAGCAGTGGGCTGGCTTGCGGGCCAACCATTGCGGGAAGACCAGAAAGCGCAGTGCTTCTTGCGCTTTGTGGACGGCGGCCTGGGCCTCATGTCTGCGGAAAGAGTGGCCGCGGCCGCTTTCCTCGGTAGGTGGGCGCTCACCCTCCAAAACGTGGCCCAAACCTTGGGGGAGACCTCGTGGGAGGGGTTCGCAACGCGCTGCGCGCCCATGGCCAGCGCGCTTGCCACGGCGGGGCACCGTCTCCACGCCCAGAGCCGCGGCCAGATCACCCGCCCCGACTGGGTGGCGTGTCTCGCAGAGCCGAAGCAGAAGAAGCAGAAGGAGTGCGCCGCGGCCTTGGGGGAGGCCGCCAAGACGGAGTTGCTCGCGAGCTTGGGCGAGGACGAGCGGGTCGACCTGCGGTCGGCCGGCGGCCCGGGCGCTGGGGGCTTCTTGGAACAACCCGTTCACCGCGAGGGAATTGAGTCGCCGCTCATGCCCGAGGACCACTTCAGATGGCACTCGCGGACAGGCTCCGCATGCCCCTCTGCGCGCCTGGCACCACATGTCAGCACCGCTGGGCGGACGGGACAGTGTGTGGTCAGCTCATGAACGCTCGCGCCAAGCACGCCCACAAGTGCCCTGCGGTCCGGCCCGCAACCGGCGGCACAATGGTGTCTGGGATTTCTGCAGCTCTTATCACCAGAAGACGACCAGCTTCATTTCGGTCACCGAGCAGTGCGTCTTGGCCTGGGACCGCGTGGGCGCGACAGGGGTGCTGGAGGAGGCGAGATTGGACGTGGCCACCCGGGACGCCATCATGGGACAGCCCTGTGTCTTGGACGTTAGCGTGACCGGCGCACACAGCGACGACTTGTCGCACCAGCAGGCCCGCGTCGGCCGCGATGGACTTGCGGCCCGGAATTCTGCGGACGCCAGCACCTGCGGTACCCGCCGGAGGGGAGCTGGTCCTGGTCATCTTCGAGGCTGGCGGGCGGCCTGGTGAAGAGACAGTGGCCTACGTCCGGTCCTGGGCGCACGACATGGCCCCGGCCCGTTGGACGGAGGTCATCCGTTTTGCGTGGCAACAGCTCAGCACGCATCTCCAGACCGGGAACGCGGAGCTGCTGCTCAGCGCGCTGGGCCGGTGAAGGGCCGGCGGCCAAGGTGACGCACCGCCGCCGAGGCGAACGGCCGCGGCTAGTATTGCTACCGTTGCCACCACCAGCCGCACCACAGACGCCCCCATTTGCACTGCCGCGCGCTTTCCGCCACAACCACCGCGACCTTGAGCTGGCCACAACCACGACTTGAGCCACTACCACGGCCGCAACCACACCGCGGCGGCTGCCACGACGCCACCACCACGACCGCAGGCGCCAGCGACCGGAGCCACGGCTACCGCGACTACCACGACTACCACGGCCACGACCACGACAACGACCACCACGACAGCCACCAGCACGACCACCAGCACGACCCCCAGGACCGCCCCCCGCCCTCCGTCCCCCCTCTCCTTCCTCCCTCCCCCTCCCGCCCCTGCCAGGCCGCCCTTGCCGCTGCGCCTGTCGCGCATCTTTCGGCTGTGTCGAGCGTGCGTGCACAGGGTGGTGGCGGAAGTGGCCCCGACCAAAGGGGATGCGCCACCCGCCCCGTGCCGCAGGACCGCGTTTCGGACTCCGGCCCGACACGCCCAGCCCCGGTGGACACGCACCTCAGGAGGAGGAAGAGGAGGAGGAGAAGGAGGAGGAGGAGGAGGAAGAAGAAGAGTCGGAGGAGGAGCAGGAGCAGGAGCAGGAGCAGGAGCAGGAGCAGGAGCAGGAGGAAAAGGAGGAAAAGGAGTAGGAGCATGAGCAGGAGGAGAAGGAGGAGGAGGAGGAGGAGGAGGAGGAGGAGGAGGGAGGAGGGGGGAGGAGGAGGAGGAGGAAAGGTAGGGGATGATGGTGCTGCTGCTGCTGATGATGATGCTGATCATACTGGTGATGAGGCTGCTGCTGCGGATGTTGATGATGGCGATGCTGCTGGTGATGGTGATGGTGCCCATGGTGATGATGCTTATGCTGATGATTCTGATGATGCTGATGCTGATTATGATGATGGCCAGTGTCATACTGCTGATGATATTGGTGTTGATGGTTTTGATGATGCTGATGATTATGACGACGATAATGATGCTGAAGTGGATGCTGATTCTGATGCTGATGCTGATGCTGATGCTGCCGTTGCAGATGATGATGATGATGATGATGATGATGATGATGATGATGATGATGATGTTGATGATGATGCTGATGACGTTGATGACGGCGATGATGATGTTGGTGATGCCCATGATGCTGCTGCTGCATGTGATGATATGCTGGTGATGCTGATGACGCTGGTGCTGCCAATGCTGATGATGACGTTGATGATGGCGATACTGACGATGGTGATGCTGATCATGCTGGTGTTGTCTTCTGCTGCTGATGCTGCTGGTGATGCTGATGATACTGGTGCTGATGATGCTGATGATGATGGAAATGGTGGTGCTGATGGTTCTGTTTCTTCAAACGACGATCAGGGTGATGCTGATTTGGATTTTGATGCATATTTGATGCTGATGGTGCTGCTGATGATGATGCTGATGATGTCGATGATGCGGTTGCTTATGATGAGGATGCTGATGATGATGCTGGTGCTGCTGCTGCAGATGATAATGATGATGCTGAGGATGGATATGACGATGCGTATGACGATGCTGCGGATGACGATGCTGATGT